AGGGGTAAACTCTCCAACATGCAAGCAGTCACACCCGCACAGCAAGCGCTTGCTAATGGTAAGGAGTGCAATTGGATTAGTTCTCTGGAGGCAGGAATCAATAGCCCAGAGTATGTGGAGCCGATTAGACATTGCTAATTAGAGCTCTCAGACATTAATCAAGCACCACGTATGGGGCTAATCAACCAATGTGGGAAGCAGAAAAAGTCAATAACGTCCCAAGTCTCTCCTTGAATTTTCCAACCTGGTTCACCTTGAAATCCAGCCTAAAGATAGCAATCCCTGAAGTGTGTCTGCAGGTAGTAGGCTAGGAGACTGCTGTTTCGTGGGTTCCTGAGTCTTTTAAAATGAGTGGCAGAAGTGATGTCACCAGCACAGACTCCAGGCTTGCCACTTTTCATTGATAGGGCAGCAGGGCTATGGGTCAGCTGCAGGCTGGTCCCAAAGAGGCTGACCAATGTTCCTAAGGCAGGAGCTGTAAATAAAAACAAATGTTCGCTGACTAATATAGAACTCATGAGTAGCCCAGCATGTAATTTAAACAATTGCTCCGGTGCAATAAAGTAATAAATGTTAGGCTTGTGTTTACTCGCGTGAGTGGAGAGTGAATCCGTGGTCAAATCAAACAGTGCTTTATGAACTCTAGGAGATATTCCACTAGATTCATCTGCCCGGCTCGGCTTAGAGAACTTCGGTAAGCGCAATTACAAAGTATGACATTAAGTCCTTTAATATAACAAAATTTATAAAGGCTAAACTGGCCTTTGATAGATTCTGTTTATAATACCAAGCAAATGTAGACATACTCAAAAATGAGTAACATATAGCAAAAATATTTCCAAGCACTTACATCCTTAATTGATTGATGGCTCCCTGACATCTCTGAGTGTTACCCTGAACAGAGTTACTTCTTGTCCAACATGTTCTTTGTATCTCATCAGGATCTCCCGCCCGCCCTCCCCCCACCTTTTTTTTTGTTGTTGTTGTTCTTTTCAAGACCTAGTTCCAGTACAGTCAGGATGACACAATAATCCCTGTTTTTAAAAAAAAAAAACAAAATAAATAAATAAATTTGTTTCTTCAGAAATAGAAAGTAAGCTTGAAATAAACTCAGATCCCCACAGATTCAAAGGAGAGTTAAGATTTGTGTTCTGTAGGGACTCAGTTTTTATGTTCTTTGAAGACATGTTCTTCCAACCTCTCTCAGCATTATCAGCTTTAGACTTAAGCAGGAAGAGTGAAATAGAATTCCAGGATTTAATTATGGGATACAGACTAGTGCTGGAGGAAAGGAAAGCACAATATTAGGAAAATTAAGACTGAAATTAAATCTTGCCTAGAACCCCAGGTCACAGCATATTGATGGTGGGGCTTGGACAAATATATAATGTCCCTGAGCCTCTGAGATGAAGACAGGAGTGTCCAAGGTCATAGTGTGATATAAGACAACACACTTGAGTACTAGGGTACCATGTGTGCTTGGAGTTAGAGACAGTTAACACTTGACCAAGTCTCCTTGTCTTCTCCCATTGGTGCTAGATATTGACTAGTACATTCTAGAAAGCAGTAATTGTATTTTCTATATCTTTGAAATCTTATTGCCTGACACTGTAGGGTCATAGCTGACTTAAGAAATTATTATTAAGGCAAAATGAATTGACTAAAGGACATGAAAAAAATTAATGGGGGAACACAAGAACATTTCTTTCTCTCCTGCCCACAAGTCAATACTGAACAAGATCTCCAAGGGTATAATATCTGGAAATAGTTCAGAAGGGTCAAGATAGATCCTTCCAGTAATTTCCACCATTGAAAAGATTGGTTATGGGGGAAATTATGTTTTATTTATTTTTTAATTAAAATGTAATTAATTTATTTCCCCCCTTCCTTTCTCCCTCAAACTCCTCCCATGCTCCTTTCCTTCAGCTCCTTCCCTCGCCCCCTATTCTCAAATTCACGGTCTCTTTTTCTTTGATTATTATTGTTGTATATTGTCTTGGTTAGGTTTCTGTTGTGATAAAGACCATGACCAGCTTGAGGAGGAAAGGGTTTCATTTCACCTTACAGACCTTCGTGAAGGGAAGACAGGGCAGGAACTCAGGAAGGGAGCTGGAGGCAGAAACTGAAGAAGGGATGAGGGAGGGAGGCAGCTTTCTGGCTTGCCCCCCACCCCCCACCCCCACCCCCCACCCCCATCCCCACCCCCCCAGCCCCGCCAGCTTGCTCAGTTTGCTTTCTTATACAGCCTGCCCAGGCACCACCCACGGTAGGCCTACCCTTCCCCATCAATCACCAATCAAGAAGACACCTTACACACTTGCCGCCAGGCCATCTGACAGTGGCATTTTCTCAACTGAGGCCCCTCGTCCCAGAAAACACTGGCTTGTGTCAGTTTGACATACACACACACACACACACACACACACACACAGAGAGAGAGAGAGAGAGAGAGAGAGAGAGAGAGAGAGAGAGAGAGAGAGAGAGAGAGAAACCTGCCAAATCTGTTTAATATTGCTTGTACATATATGACTTCAGGGCTGACCACTTGGTATTGGATAACCAATTAGGAAGCTAATCTCTGGGGAAGACTAACTCTCCATCTCTCAGCTGCCATTCATTGCCATAGTTCTTTGTCATGGGGAGGGGCCCCATGAGGATTCCCCCTTCTATATTATCATGTCTATTGGCACTGGTATTGTTCAAGTCTTGTTTAGGAAATCAAACTGTTGCAATATCATGGGTGTTGCTTGCCTGTCACTTTTAGGAGACACCACCTCACAGAAGACTTCTTGGTCCTCTGGCTCTTAACATCTTTCTGCCCCCTCTCTCGTGACGTTCCCTCAAGCCTAAGTTATAGGAGTTGTGTTGCATCCATTAGGGCAGAACCCTCCATAATCAGTTATTCTCTGCATTTTTGGCCTGTAGTTCTCTATGTTTTTTCTGTAATGGTTTTGTCTGCCGATGAGAGGGCAGTTACACTTATCTGTAGATATAAGGATAAATATCCAGAATGCAATTAGGAATTCGGCTGGTCTAGTAAAGTGGTGGTAGTAGATTCTCTTCTAAGATCCATTGCATTACTAGCTGTGGATAGTTGACTACGTTTCCAGAACCAGGCGTAACTTCCCTCCTGTAGGACAGCTTAAGTCCAATTAGATAGCTATTGGTTGCTGCCTGCCAAGACATGAGTGTCACTGTTGCAGTCTCAGGGATAGCTTGCTGTGCTGGCCATTCTTGTGGTTCATAAACATCATAGCTGGGTAGAAGAATCGATTGCCTTCCTTCTTTGACAACTGGCAAAGCATCTCCCAGTGCTATGAGGTCTAGTTCTCAAGAGGAGGCTTTCAGGTCAGACCCAGGCTGAATCTTCTGAGTCCTATGTTGGAAGTGCATGGTGTCTTTACCTTTAACCTCTGGAAGACAGCCAAGAACAATAGCCTATTGTCTGGGGAGTCTCTTGCACAACGCTTCTCAACAACTGGAAAGGAGGTTTTTTATGCCTGATGCCAGGGTTTTTGTTTGATGCTCTATGGCTCTTGGTGAGGAGGGATTGTCAGTCCGAGTAGCATAACATGCTTTGATAAAAAGATAGAGAAATCAATAGATACATAGATGGATGGACATAGATACATGCTTATATACTACACATAATTTTAGATAAATACAAAACAATGTTCCTAAAGGCTTTTCAAGCATTCTTATTACTTATCCTCTCTTCTTCCTTCTCCTTCTCTATTCCTCACGCCAGTTAAAGCCTCCTCCCCATTTTTCCCATTTAACCCTTCATACTATATGTATCCCACTATTCCCGACTCTAGGGCTCCTCTCACCATGGTCCTTTTTGACTTTCCTGGTTTCTGTGGCTGGTCTTTTATAATTTACAGAATATTCATACACACAAAATATAAGGCAAAACATGAGGCGGTGGATCAGTTGGTGGAGTGCTCGCTTACTGTGCATGTGCCCTGAGTTTGAGTCCCAATATCACATGAACAGGGAGTGGTGACAGGCACTTGTCATCTCAGCACTCAGAGGTTGATACTGGAGGATCCGAAGTTCAAGGTCATCCTCAACTACAGAGAAAGTCTGAAATGAAAATGGGTTACATGAGACCCACTAAAAATTTTTCTAAATGTGTGTATATATACATGCATATATATGTGTGTGTATGCATGTATATGTGCGTGCACATGTTTATGTATATACCTACGTATGTGGGGAAAAAATATAACAGATACCCCAAATATTTATTTTATAGACTGTATGGATGATTGGTAAAAGTGGTAGAATACAGAGCCCAGATATTGGAGAAATAACATGGCTTAATAGGCTTTTAAGCAGGAGATAATATTAATATCCTGTGTAATTCTCAAGGTAAGTGTTGTAGGAAGGTCTACAGTCAGACCCCTTCAGTTTGGACCATGAACACACCAGGGCTAAGGGGACAGAGGAAACACTGTGCCCCATGAAGAGCCTTAGCTGTGCTGTGAAAGGAAGGGGCCACCAGAAAAGGGTCAGTACCGACCATTAGAGGCTGGCCAGAGTCCAGCCCTAGGCTGAAGGCATGGAATGTGGTTGACGTCATCTCTGTCTAATTAAACATCATAGCTCCATTTCCTCAAACAGGCAATGTTCTGCACAACATGATGTTTTTAAGTTGACAACTCGGGTTTATTTCCTGTGATGATAATGGTATGATAGTGACAATAATTAAACTTTGAAAAACCTAGGGGAGTTAGAAATGAGTTGCCTTATTCTGTGCTGATGATTTGTTCTCCATGTCCAACTAAACTGCAGTGAGATACTTTCTGCAGGCAGGCTAGATGGTTAGCTTACCAAAGGGGCCTCTCTCCTCATTGCTGTGTTCTACATTACTGCTGGTTTCAGTGGAAGTGTCATCCACACCCCACACTAAAAACAAAACAAAGAAAAAACAAAACAAGACAAAAACCTTCATGTAGAGAATCAAGTCTTTATTCGTAACCTAAGACTATCACACTTCAATAATTACACCTCTTTTTTGCATGCTTGCAAATTAAGCAATTCCAAAATTAGTGGGAGTCTCCAGATAAGCCAAGGTCTGGATACAGGAGTGGTCAGCCATCCAGCCTCTTCGCATGGAACACATCTGAAAGGAAAGCCCTTGCTCCAGTGGTCACTCAGCCTTTAAGTAAATGCATCCAGGCTCTGTGAGCCACTGTGATCCAGGAAAGAAAGAAAGAAAAAAAAAAAACAAAATTTAAAAAAACAACAACAACAACGAGGAGGCTGGCTGGCAGGGAGAAAAGGATTGAGTATTTCCTTCAAAAGCTGTGTCTCTGAATTTCGTTCAGACCTTTTTTTCCTGAGCGACCCTTGTCCTGCCTTGATTCATTAGACTCCATCACCCCAAGTCACTTCCTATATACAGCCCAAATTTCCTGTAATGAGGGGAAGCTGAGACGCAAACCCTCCACAGCTGCATTAAGTCTCCAGTTATTGAATTAGGTTGGCATAATTTTAAATATTAAGCAATCTTCCCAGCCCCTGGTTATTGTCACTCAATACGGGAGACATATGTCATATTATCTGCCCAACATTGTTTCCCCTTGTCTGACAACAGCACCCCCTTTTCTTTCTGGGTAATTATCCTCCTGACAACCCAGGTAGCACTGAGTATTGTCTGGGGGGCGAGAAATGGTTCCCAAGAAAGGGCGTCAGAGACTCTGTCCCGGATTTTCCATGCAAACACAACAGGACAGCAACCCCTTTCTTACATCATCACTCTCTGGCCTCAGGAAGCTTGGAGCATTCTCTGCGGATTTCCCAGCCCCTTCAACCAAAAAGAACTGACAGCATCATCCCCAAACCCCTGGATCCGGTCAAGCCTGAAGCCAGCTGCACCCTGGAACTTGGAAATTCTTTAAGCCAGCCCTTGACCTTGGGTAACTTCAAGAGCCCTTCCTGAAATGTGCACTGTTTAATCTGCAGTTCCAACAACCATTGTGAGCCTGCCCTTTGTCCATTCCACGTTGTCCTTCTCCAGGTTTGTTCAAAGGTTTTCTTCCCACAAACCTAAATCCCTACACAGATCACTCATCTGTTGGCTATAAATCTGCCCTGTTCCATTTCATAACAGTGCTTTTCTCAGTTAATTAATTGCTATCCTCTAGACTCTGTGTCTTCAGAAAGTTCTGAGCACTAAGTCCTAATTTGCTCCCTTGACCTCACAGTCTGTACACTGCCCACACTTTCCTTTTATAATCCTCACCCCAATATTCTTGTTTCCTTTTCTTTTGCTGGACTTCATATTAAGGATTTTCTAGAACAACAATTATTAAGTTCACAGCCTGGTCATTAATTAGCTCTGGAGATGTCTCAAAGTCTCATGAAATTATATATAAGTTTTACATGAATATTCATATTTACACACATTAGTCACCAAGGCTATAAAACAAGTTACTCCATATTTTAACAGTTTAAACAATAAACACTTATTATTTCACAATTTCTGTGGGTCAAAAATTCAGATGTGGCCCAAGTAGGTACCTCTCCCTCTCATAAGGCAATGAAAGAGGAGCACAAATTCAAGACTGTGATGGGGATTTTTATCAGCTGGCAAGGGTAAGGTAAAGGAAAATCCACTCTTACTGTCATGGTTGCTGTCAGGAAGTGTCTTTCATAGCTTGGGGCTCTACCAGGAGAGCAATACCAGGCCAGTGGGAGACACCTTGGCATTGCTATAATCTAGCCTCAGGTATTATATTCCATCCCTGGGCTACAGTATAGATGAGGCACCAGCCACTCAGCCCAGCTCATGCTCAAGGTGAGAGGTTTTCATGGGGTCTGAATGCCAGGAGGCAGAAGCCACAGGGCCCCCTGAGAGGTTTGCTGCAACAGTGCACCCTGAAAAGTGTAAACAGACATTTTCTATCCTGACTGCCTGATCCCAAATAACCAACTCAGAGGCTGAATATGAGTTATAAATGCTCAGCCAATAGCTCAGGCTTATTACTAACTAGCTCTTATATTTTAAATTAACCCATACTTCTATTTATGCTTTGCCACATGGCTTATGGCTTGTTACCTCATTTTTTTTACACATCCTGCTTGTTTGGTGGTTGGCTGGCATCTCACTCGACTTCCCTGACTCTGCCCTCCTTCCAATCAATCTCAGTTTGGCTTTCCCGCCTAACTTCCTGCCCAGCTATCAGCCTGTCAGCTTTTTTGTTTGTTTGTTTTTCGAGGTAGGGTTTCTCTGTGTAGTTTTGGTGCCTGTTCGTGGCCTCGAACTCACAGAGATCTGCCTGGCTCTGCCTCCCAAGTGCTGGGATTAAAGGCATGTGCCACTACCACCCGACCTGTCAGCTTTTTATTAATCAATGAGAGTAATACATATTCATAGTGTAGAAAAGGATTGTTCCACAGCAGAAAAGGAAACTCGGAGCACCTGACTTTATATTTGTACTCTCTCTTCATTTCTGTCCCAATCAGCAGTTTTATTCACAGTCTTTATTTTCACAGAAAAAAAATGCCAGAAAGTTCTGTGTAAAACACTAGGATCAACTTCAGCTTTGGAACAGTCCTTATTACCCCCCTCACCCCCACCCCACCACCACCACCCCGTGCCACTAAAAGTTTTGTAACACACAGAGCCTGTTGTCCCCTACTCCCCTGTTAGTGTCCCCCACACACACACACACACTATACATGGCCACTTGATGAGAACAGGAATGCCTCTTTAAAAAACATTTTAAATGTTTTAAAATTAGCATATAAGGTATCATTATGACTTTTTTTTTTGAGACAGATTCTCTCAGGTAGCCCAAGCTAGCCTTGAATGTGTTATGTAACCAAGGCTGGTCTCAAAAAAAAAAAAAAAAACAAAGTTGTCCCATTGGGTGGAAAATGTGGCTAGCATTCTTCTATAAATCAGTCGACCATGATGCCTGCTAAACTGAAGAAATATTGACCCATGACTACCATCTGATCATAGAATATCCCAAAGATATGAAAGGGTGAGATTTAATACAGTTCACAGCATGTGCTGCTCTTCTGTCTGTGGATGACACTGGCTCTTCTTTCCATTGTGAGTCTGACGGTACATTCGGTATTCACTCTTGCAGCCAGGTACCACTGCCTAGGACACCCTGAAGACACCAGGTTTCACCCAACGTCACTTTTGAATCAACAATGCAACGGTCAACATCTGTGAGAAAAGGCAAGCAGCACCTTGGTACTCCTATAAAAAATAGTTTTTACTACATGGACACATTCAAAGTGACTTAGGGACCCCTGGAAATGTAGGGCATCCCTTGGAAGCCACTGTTACAGGCTACTGAACATGTTTACATGGTGGCTTGATAGATTATGTACTTAATTCTGCTTTTCAGGGTCTGCTGGAAAAAAAGAGGCCTCTTATGAAATGTTCAGAATTAATGAGCAGGAACAATCTGATACTTCCCAAACATCACTAATTCACAAGTTTTTCCAGAGAAACACAATCACTCAAGCCCAAATGAATATTTAAAAAGACCTTTTCTCAATCTGGAAACAAGTATATCATTCCACAAATAGTAAAAAACACAGTATTACTCTTTTTAATAATTTATTTAACTTTTATTTTATGTGTGTTGGTGTGAAGGTATCAGGTCCCCTGGAACTGGAGTTACAGACAGTTATGAGCTGCCATGTGGGTGCTGGGAATTGAACCTGTGTCCTCTGGAAGAGCAGCCAGTTCTTTTAACTGCTGAGCCAACTCTCCATCCCCCATAGTCTTATTGCTAAAGTGCATATATAACTACTCAGACTTTCACAAAAGCTTCTCATCAAGTGTACTGCCTGAAGGTCCCACCATTGAAGACTCATTTGTAAAAAGAGTGTAATAGTCCAAAAATTTCCCTCCCTGCTCACATACTTATGAACTCATCCCATTGGTAAATTACATTGAATGAAAATTCACTGGCTTATATCTTTTAGATTCTTCTACCTACAGATTGTGAGTCTCTCCTGTTGGGGATAATTAGAGAGAAGGAAGCTGGGGATTAGGTGAGAGGAGAGGGAGGCGAAGCAGATGGCAAAAGGAAATACAGCTTTGGGCAGGAAGATCTGGGAGAAATAAAGGAGAAGGCAGAGGAAGAAACCTCTACATTTAACGGCCCTGTGGAGTCTGGAGAAGCAGGGGGACGAGGTGGGTGTGGAAGGAGCTAGCAAAGTGCTTCCCTGAACAGGAGGAGGGTTGGGCTTCAGCACTAGAAACTAAACATGTCTGGCCAGCTGTGTCAAATAAAGCTTTCTGCAAAATCTTTCCATTTAGAAAAAACAAACCTTCAAGTGTTCTTATGTCGCTGAGATCAGGGCAGAAGACAGGATGTTGTTGAACGTTTGGACAAAAGGCACGTGCCAATGGCCTTGCACACACATGCATCACACATTCAAGTTGTGTGATCTCTTGGTGTGTTCACTTTCTTCTGTTAATCAAAACAGTCTGAAAGCCTGCTGTCATCACAGAGAAGGTCATGAGAAGTCTCTCCTGAGTGAGAAAGCATGAAGGGAAAAGAAGACTACGATGCCCGTTGTAACGCTTTCAAGTTGTGTGAACGAACGGGTCTGAGAATCTGACTTAATGGTCATCTTGCAGCTGATGTCTGTGAGGTACCTGTGAGGACTCCTCCTGGCTCACCCATTACCTTTGTTCTGTAACTCTGCACAGACAGTGGGCTCAAGGTTTGAATAAACTGCACAGAGGTCTTCATCCGTCCCACTATTGTGTCCCCTGAAGTTCCTGTCACGTACCTGAGCTTTCCCTCTCTCAGACTTCATCTGAAGAAAGGGCTCTGGTACCATATCCCACCCCCCAAAAATTCATAATTCCTAGGTCTGAAGTCCCATCTAAATTTGAAAATTCTCCTTTCAACTTTCAAAAAACCAATAGAAAAACATCAAATGCCAGTATTACATGCAAAAATCTCAGAGACACATGCAAATGGCTATAGAATTTTAAAATGTCTTCTACCCTATATTCATCAGTTTCACTATAAGAAAAACCACTCCAAAACTGTTGTGTAGCCAATTGGAAAGCTGGAAATGTCCACTGTGGTGGTTTGAAGAGGTATGGCCCCCATGGACTCATACATTTGAATGCTTAGCCCACAAAATGGCACTGTTAGGAGGTATGGCCTTGTTACAGTGGGTGTGGCCTCATTGGAAAAAGTGTGT